CAAAGCAAAGCAATGCAAAAATGTGCGCGAGTTAAAAAGTCAAAATAATAATTACAATAATAATATAATGAATAACCATGGTCATTATATGGACAGGAGCGTTTTAACGGGAACTGAAACACTCACGTGCACGCTCGTAATATCAATACGACCACCACATCCCGGAACCGAGTGACGTATTTTTCGTATGTAACACGTGGTGTGGTGATATTGAGCAACGATGTCAGGATTGAGTCTCTTTAAACTTTTCTGAGAGAATTTTTTTTGTTTGTCGTTTGAAATATTAACCGGCGGCAAGATTCGTTGTGGTAAGCGACGAAGATGTAAATGCATTTCCCGAACAACGAGTAAACCAAGATTTTCAAGGAATTTCCCGAAAGCTGCGATTAAACATGGGTCAATTTTTATCTGTCCGTACTGAACAGCCTTAAATGGTTTTTATTGAAGAGAGGCTGAAAATAAAAGTATCTGATGATTTTAGTCAGAGTCAGTAATCGAATTTCAATTAAGCCTATAAAACTAGCTTACATGTATCTTGGCCTAGCTGACGGTGTTATTTTTTAATCTTTTTAATTATCATTAGATACCGGGAGTTTTGTTTCTATTAATACCCAGTATTAATGTTAAAGCCAGGTTTACAATCTCAACTTCGTATATTTATTGTCAATATAATTAGAAAGAAAATTAAACGGTAGCTCAAAGATATGAATTTGATGTTCTCGTGATATGATTAACATCTTACTGGTTTGCTGCGCTCACTTGTTTGATATTGTTTTTGCCACTCGAACAAAAAATTCACATACTCTCGCCATCGTGTAATACCCCTAATTTTTCGACCAGTCGTGCAAAAGAGTCCAAAACGCAGACCTTTTATTTTATTATCATTTTTTTTATGGAGAAGGGAAGAAACAGAACGGCTCAACTTATAAGAAACACTGCCAATTGTCAGATTGAAAACGTATTCGTTATTAATTATAAGTATGTCATTCCATAAAAGGATCTGAAGGCTGGTTCACACGTGCGAAGCAAAAGCAAATGCAAACGCAAATAGAAATGCAAGCGATCCGACACATCTAAAGCAAACGCAAGAAAATAGAGATACGCAAACGCAGTAGAAGTATTTTTACAAGACGACCGACAATGATTGAGCTTTTGCCTATTCACACGTGTAGGAAGCGAACGCAAATGCGAACTCAAGAAAATGAAAATTTGTTTATTCCTTGCGTTGACGCTTGCGTTTGCATTTGCGTTGGGGTCGTTCACAAGAGCAATTCCTTGTATTTGCATTTGCGTTTACATTTTGAAGTGATTGATTGGCCGAGGGAGGTGTGGGTACTAATCCTATTACCCTCTTTGGAAATTAATTCTACTTTTCAGAGCTGGCCCAATACAAATATTACACGTACTTCAAATCGTGTAATAGCTGAAGTCGATGTATCAGCTTGGAACTTAAGAACATCTCGGATAAATGGTTGGAAAGTGCGAAAAATGAATTTGAATTTGATGTGTTCAGGCAGTGAGTAACTGTTTTGTTAAAAAAGACTATGTACAATCAGTTTTTGCGTTTTTTCAAAGTATACTTAGGGACGGAGAACTGAAATGAGGAAAAGAGCCGAACTTATTTTTGCAATAGCGGCGAAATAAAGGTTCAGCTTGCATACACCAATACCCTGTTATTTCATTGAGACCGGGAAACTGAATTCTGTTGTTATCGTCACTGACAATCCTGGTAACTGGTTGTGATAAAAATTGCAATTATAATCTAAGCTGACTAGCCCAATCCGAATCAACTAACACCTTGCAGCAAGAGCCGCCATAATTAATGACTACTGAAGTTGACACTCAGCCCCCTGCAACCACGCCTCTTCCTATCCGTAAGCTAAAAAATTGCTCCCACCTTAATATTTCAAAATTTTTGGCTCTTACAGGTTACGATACTCTCGCAAAAGTGCACCCGAACTAAGAACGTTTTGCAATGGTTTTGAAAAATCCAGGTCCTGAGAATTCCAGAGGGTATGCTGGTAAACCGTAATTTTTCCAAAGCTGTGCTTATTGAGTCAGGTTGAAATATTCTTTTTATCAGTGATCCACCCATTCATGGAGACTTAATTAAAACGAAAAAAAGCAAACAAAAAATAGATGAAAAAAAAGAAAAGAAGAAATTCAGGTATCTTAACACTCGCGATCTTCTTTTTAACCCTTTAAATCCCCGATCTGATTGTTAATTCTCCCTTCTACCTGTTACCCATTTCCTTGTAAATTTAGTTCTGAGAATTTTGAGGTAGATCAAGTTAACAACTTCTACCTGGTAAGTTTGAATATATTCATTACCTGTTTGCTGGATAATGTAGGGATATTATAGGGGGAAGTTTCATGTTGATCACTTTTGGGAGTGTAATGGTTAAGTGAGAACTTTATTCCGGCTTTAATCGCCTTGATTTTAAATTCAACTTTTAAACCATCGCTAATTTCACGTAGATCACGTGATGAAATATTTGATTAACAATAAAAAACAATGAATCGTGCAAAATGAAGATTGCGGAACTATTTCAACGTTATCAGTAAGAGTAAAATGCCTTAACATCGCTGTGGATCAGTTATCCAGTCTTTTGTTAGCTCGATAATAAATGCATCGCTGGTATCCATAACAATGAAGTGAACGAAGAACTTAGTGATATGGCATCTGTAGCACTTTCATTTGCGCGACGAAGTAAAATTTTTAATATGACGTTTAGTTTGTTTACATGTAGAGTGAAATTTTAAAGACTGCAAGTTTTTATCAAAAATTCATTCACTTTACCGAAATAAATCCATCACCGTGGGTTAACTCACAAGTAGCGTAAAACGAAGAAATATCTCATGCAAAGCATAAACTGTTGGAATATTTACGGCGGTTATTATGTCATGGTTATTTTTAAAGCAGGTTTATTCCATAGCTATTCGAGTTACCCTGCATGGGCGGACGACCTCTTATCAAATTGTTTTTCTTACTGAAACTAATTACCGCAATAAAACAATGTTTTTAAGGTTTGCATTTAACAACCGTTTTTTATCTTTTGATGTCAAAAGATTTCCTCGACCACTTTATCGTTGCGTTTTATTGCGTTTGGCAGAAAACAAGAGGGAAAAATCATTAAACGAGGCAGAAAATTTAGCCATTGCAACCACATTTAAATCGGGAGTCTTAAGTTTCAAAAAGGCTGATTGGTTCAAATGGGGAGTTTCTAGTAAAGCCATCAATAGACGAGACTTACAGTGTATTAGATCAGCTACTTCAGTACAAAGAATATCAATGTTGATAAAAAAGAGCAAATTATCTTGCCGAAATTAAAATCTTCCTGTACATTTCACATGAAATGCTTTAAGAAACATTCCGTCCATAGGCTTCGTTTTATGGGCAACTGGGTTTATGATGTCTACTTTTCGGATTGAATGGCAACAGAAGTAAGACTCCAGCAGGTTTAAAGAATTGAAGTGTGTGATCAACAAAAGTGTTTAAATGAGCGTCTATGTTACTAGTCTAAACAAGGTTGTGACTTTCCAAACATGTTTGTATTTTTAAGAAATATACTTTACAAAAGCAATGGAGGACTCTTTGCCGAGTTTCCAAAAGTTAATCGAAACCGGCCAGGGTGAATGATCGTGCATTGAGAGAGTACTCCAAAGTTCTGCATTTCCGGTTTAAATAACTCCTTTTATCGTTCTCCCCCAGCCCCCACCCCATTCGAGAGAAAGTAAGGCAATATTATCATAATTCCTCACTTGAATTGCCTCATTATATATATATTTCCATACGTTTAAAATACAGCCTTCAAAAGTTTGAATTCGTTTGTGTAAATTATGTAAATGAACACAAAAACTCCGGGACAAAATCGACTCAAACAAAACAAAGACTGTAGGAGCCAAAAACACCTTTAAGCACAAGCACCACGCTTGAAATATTGCGTACTGTCTTTGGATTTTATATGATCTGGGATCTGCAATATGGTTGGGTGATACGCTCCAGTCTCTGAATCGACTTCTGGCTGAACGTAGACGAGTAGACTCATATAAGAGTTGCAATTGACTAACGATAGAAACGGTAGAAACATCTAAACGATAAAAATGAAAAGCAATGCATTTTGTCGCTTTTAGAAAACTAAAAAGCGATACAAGTGCAACGATTAGTGAGCTTCCATTCAGTTTTCTTTCTCTGTGAGTGGAATATTATAACAACATCGATATAAAGTCGGTTTGTTCATCTTTTAAAATAGGCGATATGTTTGGTGTGAAAGACCCTCGTGGGCTCCGTACGTGTGTGGTTTACAAGTTTTTATGAGCGAGCTCTAATGCCTGCTATGTCGGCGAAACCCTCGACATTTATCCACACGTGTACGTGAGCACTTGATCAGTGATAGGACCTCTCACATTTTCATACATTTACATAATTCTCCACAATGTCGCACTCTTTGTTCTGATGTGCGTTTTGACACTTTAGATCACGCTGCCACGACTTTTCAACTTAAAATCAAAGACAAAATTTTCACCAAGTGAAAAATCATCGACTAAAGAAGTTTTTTAAGGAAAAAAGCAAATTTGTGAACCAAAATTAAAAACAATTAAAAAAAATGCCTCGTATTTCAATTTTGAAATGTTTTCTCAGTCAGTTAAATTGCCTTCGTCAGTGATATAACTTCTCCTATAAACACCAAAGGCTTTCAAAACTGCATTCAAGGTTTCTAGAAACTATTCATCTTCATTTATTTGATATTCAGATTCTCCAGACAAAGCTGTTTTGCCGGCGATTTGGGTTCACATAGATACGGAACTTTCTTTGAATTAACGACCCACAGGCGTAGTGTAGCTTACTTGTTGTTCCTGTTCAGCTGCAGTCAAAACGTCGTACGACATCTAGATGTCATATGTCAGACATTTTGAAAGCTAATTTCGAGTCTTGACAGTAGTATGTTTATTCTCTATCACCATTCCTTGGCTTGTTGTTTTCTTATTCATTGAGATAGCCGCCTTTGGTCAAATTTGACTAAATTTACTTCGTTATCAATGATGAGGTATGTTAGCAAAATTTAATTCCTTTACAAACTCTGGTTTTGCGTAGAAGAGGTAAAGCGAGTTAAAATGGGTGGAGAGAAGTTATTGAAAATCCTCTGTAAGCCTGTGGAAAATTTTAACCAAAAGCTTTCAAACCATCATTCAAGGATTTTAGAAACTATTTATTTCCACTCGTTTGATGTGCTTATGTCGATTAAGCTGTTTTGTACGTGGATTTACGACGATACAGGAATTTAAACACACTAAAAATCGCGATGCTTTTATCTGTAATTCTTGTTTAGCTGCTTTCCGCCTATTCAGGAAAAGGTTGATCATGAATACATTTCCGAATATGAATCTTGCATAAGGAAACATGAGGATCACTTTAAGTCAACGGACGAAACTTAGTTGGTCAAAACACGTTAAAAAACATAAAAAAGTAATATTTGACATGATATTATAAGTTTGTTCTGTTGTCTCACGACAAAGTCATTTGATGTGAGACAAAAGAACAAACTTATAATAACATCCAACTACCACGATGAACACCAACCTATTTCATAACAATATTTGACACATTTCTTTATTGAGAATATTGAATTCATATTTCATTTCATCTGTAATTCAACTGTTTCCCGTTATTTTCATAGCAGCTGACAGAGCTCAGAGAAAATGCAGCCTCTCTACTCAGCTTCGCAGTGTATTCCATGGCTTGTGGTATTTACAATCTAATCGTATTTACAACCTTTTGAATAACCACCGTTATCATATGGACGGGAGTATTTTAACGGGAACTGAGGGACTCCCATATGTTAACGAGTCTACGTGAACACTAAAAAAAGTCTTCTACTGCCTAATCGAAGAGCATTTTACGCACTAAAGCGATGCAAAAATGTGCACACTCCTAGTATCAATACGACCACCACATCCATAATCGGGTGGCGTATTTTTCGTGTGTAACACGTGGTGTGGTGATATTGAGCCAGAAAACTTAGCCATTGCAACACATATAAATTGGGAGACCTATGTTTCAAAAAGGCTGATTAGTTGAAATAAGGAATTTTTAACAAAGCCATCAATATACGAGTCTTATGGTTCAGTGTATTAGATCAGCTACTTCAGTGCAAAGAATATTAATGTTGATAAAAAGAGCAAATTATCTTGCCGAAAATAGAATCTTATTGTACATTTTACAAGAAAGACTTCAAGAAACATTCCATCCAGGCTTCGTTTTATGGACAAATGGGTTTATAATATCTAAGTTTTGGACTGATTGGCAAATAGAAGTAAGACTCCTACAGTTTTAAAGAGTTAAAGTACGTGACTCATAAAAGTTTTTAGATGAGAGTCTGTATTTATGACGTTCCAAACACGTGTGTATTTTTCTGAAATATACTTTACAAAAGCAATGGATAACCTTTTCCCGAGTTTCCATAAGTTCACCGAAACTGGCCAGGGTGAATAATCGTGCATTGAGCAAGTACTCCAAAGTTCTGCATTTTCGGTTTAAATAACTCGTTTTATCATGCTCCCCCACCCCCCACTCCATTCGAGAGAAAGTATAGCAATATAATAATAACTCTCACTTGAATTGCCTCATTATGTATGTATTTCCATAAGTTTAAAGTAGTGTCTTCAAAAGTTTGGATGCGTCCATGTAAATTATGTGAATGAACGCAAAAAACCCCAGGACAAAATGATCTCAAACAAAACAAAGACTATAGGAGCCAAAAACACCTTAAAACACTACGCTTTACATATCGCGTACTGTATTTGGATATTGTATGATCTGGGATCTGCAAAATGGTTACGCGATACAATCTAGTCTTTGAATCCTGGCCGAGCGTAGACGAGAAGACTCACATGAGAATTAACTGAGAATAGAAACGTTACAAACATGTAAATGATTAAAATGAAAAGCAATGCATTTTGTTGCTCATACAAATATTAAGCAACGGTACTAGTGCAACGATTAATAATGGGCTTCTGGAGGCTTTTCTTTCTCTTGTTATCAATAAAGGGCAAAATTACTGAGCGCTGATTGGTTGAGAGAGAGGGCATTTTTTCTTAATCGAGGGCATTTTTAGTAATCAAGAGAGGGCATGATTACCTGTTAATGATTGGCTAATCCGTTGCATAGCAACCGTTCGATATCTTGAAATTTGTTAAAAATAGACTGCGCGCGTGATTTTCCTTCGTATAAATTTTGCCCTTTATTGATAAACAAGTAATCCCATGAGACCTCGTACTATTAAGGATTAATTGCACTTGAGTTTTCAAAATTTTCCAAATTGCCCTCGTCGCTTCGCGACTCGGGCAATTTTGGAAAATTTTGAAAACTCTCGTACAATTAATCCTTAATAGTACTTGGCCTCATGTGATTACATATACTAATGGAAAGGAAAATAATCGACGATGATGACTGAATTAACCTATCGATTTTACCCTTTAATGTTATATATTCTCAGTAACTAACCGACAGCTTTTAAAAAGTCAACTCTATGATCTAGGAAATAGCTCATCTCCGATAGTATTTTGCAGTTTGACTATGATAAAGTAAAGGACTTAGTCCAAATTAACGCAATACAGGTTTATGCTTCTATCCAAAATTTCAGTTCAGCTGCACTCAACTTAACATGCTCTAATTACCTCGTTTTCGATCCCGCGTGTGAGACAATGAGACGCATGTCTTCATAATGTTTTATTCATTAAAATTGTTTTTAATTTAAGATATGATATCACAACAAAAAATAAGACTGTCTAATTTATGATTATTCTTTCGAGGTCCTGTCCAGTATGTTTTTTTTACTTATGACCTACCTTGTAAGAAAATGAATTCTTTCTTTAAGAAATTATTACCAACTTTCAACAACGCAGTTTTTATAGAACTACATGTTAAAAGATGCACGGTCTTTACGCTTTAAAGATTTCTGTTGATAAAACTTTTACGCAGTTATCTTGCGAATACTTGATTGGAAATGGAAAAATAAAATTTTTCTTAAAAGCTATAAACTTCAATCCAAATTCACTTTATTTGCCTCATAAGATAATAAGACGCCAGTAGGACAATCAACGTGTCTTATCATCACTTTGTTAACAGGAGAGTGGAGCCAAGTCTTCAAACTCATTTGAAAGGAAAAAACAAATTACAAATGGACCTCTTATTTCTAGCAAATTATTCAAAGGTAGTAAACTTGCCTGCTTCAATGATATGACTTTTTCCCGTAAAAACCAAAAGCTTAAAAACCTCTACTCAAGGATTTTACAAACTATTCATCTCTGCTTATGTTGATTCTCTATTTTCAGCTGTATTGTTTGTGGATTTACTACGATACAGGGCTTAAATCACACTAACAATCGCGGAGTTTAGGCGGACGCTTCTATCTGTGGTTCTTGTTTTGCTGCACTAAAAATGTTTTCCTTTCAGCTGTTATCTGTCAATCATGCAGAAAAAGAAAATTGGCGTTCTAATAATGATAAGTTTAGTCTGCGTTGCATTCTTCCTCAGCATGCTGCTTTCTTTTATATTTGAAAACCGCCCTTTCCGCATTTGACTTAAGCTCAGCTCGTTAAAAGGATAGAAACACTTTCGTTATCAGTGAGGTAAGTTCAAAATATTCTTAAGATTCGTTTGCAAATTCTGCCTTCGATGAGATGAGGAAAACTGAATCAATATGGACAGAAATGAGTCATTGATAATCTTAATAATCGTAACGCAACGAAAAAGATATCTTTCTAAAGCTCGTTGCTTATGATATTGACAAGGGAAGACATTTATCCGAAGCGAGAAAAGACTATGAATAAATTTTTGGGGGTAGAAAATAAAACATAAGAGATGTTTTTGATTTTAAAAATGTTCGTTATATTTCACCGTACCTATGGTTAATTTCAAGGCGGTAGTAACAATAACCGTATTTCAAATAGCGGCACCCAGAAGAGGAGAAGAGTTTCTACTAAGTCTTTCTACTATATTTCCGGAAGATCTGTAAATTTTTTGTTGCCATCTGTCTTTGGAGGCTATGAATTTCCTTTAAACAATTGAGATCATTAATGGCAAAGTTTTTAGCTTATTCAGTGAACATCGAAAAAGTTCTATATTATTATATTCTTTCCGAAAGAAAAAAAAATGAATAAGCTGAATGATTAAATTTCCGGATATGAATGTCGAAAAAAGAAACACGAGTATCAGTTTTAGTTAACAGACGAAACTCAGTTGGTCAAAACACGTTAAAAAAACATAAAAAGCAATAATTTACATATTTCTTTATCGAGAATATTGAATTCTTATTTCATTTTATCTCCAATTGCACTGTTTTCTGTTATTTTTAAAGCAGCTAACAGAGCTCAGAGAAAATGCAGCCTTTCGGCTCAGCTTCAGAGTGCATTCCATGGCTTGTGGTCCTCATCATCGAATGTCTGGCCATTGTCATCCTCAATATCATCACCATTGTTGTTTTTGTGAAGATGAAGTGTCGGCTACAGCGGCGGAGTACATATTTGATCATCCATCTGGCGATAGTCGATCTCTTAGTGGGCGCAGTCTCTGGGCCACTAAACATTGAAGAAAGGATAGCGTGGTTCTGTCCTCTATGGAAGATCAGACGAATGACTAATTGGTCTTATCATTTATCTTTTGCATTTGTAAATTTATTCTCGTTCACTTCCCTTACAAATCTTATTGCCATTTCCTTAGAACGGCTACACGCAACATTCTGTCCATTCAGGCATCGCTTTATGAGGAAATGGGTTTACAGAGCCATAATTATTGTCATTTGGTTAATAGCTATTGTTAGAGAGGTCGCTCAAATTTTCTTATGGGAAATTAGTTATTTTGAGGTAATTCATACTTACTTGTATATCCTATTTTATGCAGTTTCTTTATTTGTTATCTGTGTATCATACATCCTCATTACCATCAAAGTACGATATAGTCGTCATCCTCAATTTCTTTCTAGGTCCAAAAGAGAAAGAAAACTGACGGGTACTGCGCTTACCGTCTCACTTGTATCGTTACTTTGTTTTCTACCATTGATAATATATTTAGCATGTGCTGGCCTTTCCTTTTCTTCTTTCGCGAATTTTCATATTTATCTGGCTATGTTAGTTCTATTTCTAGCTAACTCACTTGTAAATCCTATAATTTACGTTCTTCGGATGCCAGGATTCAGAGAAGGTTTATTACAGCTAGTTTACAGGAACCCAGACATTTCTAACGCCTCAGCAAACCTACCACTTCGTAACCTTAGAAGAGTGTAGATTAAAGGTAAGAAAACTACTAGCATTTCCATTTTTTGTTTTGGTTTCCATTAAAATCTTATCACTTGTAAAAAAATACGGTGGTGGCATACGAACAGATAATTGATACAATATAGTTTTGCCTTAAAGTTTAATCAACTTTTTATAGGCCCAACATTGTGATCATTTGCATAACAGCTTGACTTGAATCAAAATAAATATGAAATTTTAACAAATTCGAGATGAATAACTTAGAGGGACTCGCCCACCCCCTCCCCCACCCACATATATTGAGGAGGCTGTGTGAACATGGAAACATTTTTTTTTGTTTTATTGAAAAGCACTATGCGCAAAGGAAAGCAATGCAAAAATGTGTGAGTAAAAAAAGTCAAAATCGTATTTACAACCTCTGGAATAACCACAGTTTTTATATGGACGGGAGTGTTTTACCGGGAAATAAAACACTGACGTCCACACTCGTGGTATTAGTACGACCACCACATCCAGGAATCGAGAGGCATAATCATTTTCATTTTGTAACACGTGGTGTGGTGATATTGAGCAACGACGACACGATTCGGGCCTGTTTAAACTTTGCTGAATGAACTTGGTTTGTTTGTGGTTTGGAATATTAATTGGCAGCAAGATTCATTGTGGTAAGCGACGAAGATGTAAATCGGCATTTCTCCAACAACATGAGAACGAGAAAACCGAGATATCTTCTCGCCACCGAGTAATATTCTCAGTTTATCTACCAGTGAGAACAAAAGAGTCCCAAAACGCCGACGTTTTATTTTATTTATCCTTTTTTATGAAATGAAGACAAAACGGCTTATCATATAAAAAACATGGCCAATTTTCAGTTGAAAACGTATTCAGCTCTGTAATTATAAGTATGTCATTCCATGGAAGGTTCTGAAGAATGGTTCCCACGTGCGATGCAAATGCAAACGCAAATGGAAATGGAAGCGAGTTCACACGTCCAACGTAATGCAAGGAAAGAGAGATACACAAGCGCAGTAAAAGTATTTTTCGAAGATGGCCGACAAGGATTGAGCTTTTGCCGATTCACACGTGTGGGAAGCGAACGCAAATACTGGCTCAAGAAGATGTGCCACTTTGGAACTTAAGAATATCTCAGATAAATGGTTGGAAAGGATGCTTGAATTTGATGTGTTCAGGCAGCGAGTATTTGTATCGCTAAAAAAGATTTTGTGCCATCAGTTTTTGCGTTCTTTCGAAGTATACTTAGGGACGGAGAACTGAAATGAGGAAAAGAGCCGTTCCATGGAAGGTTCTGAAGACTGGTTCACAAGTGCGATGCAAATGCAAACGCTAAAGCAAACGCAAATAGAAATGCGAGCGAGTTCACACGGCCAACGCAAACGCAAGGAAAGAGAGATACGCAAGCGTAGTAGAGGTATTTTTCCAAGATGGTCGACAAAGATTGATCTTTTGCCGATTCACGTGTGGGAAGCAAACACAAATGCAAGCTCGAGAAAATGAAAATTTGTTTGTTCCTTGCGTTGATGCTTGCGTTTGCATGTGCATTTGCGTTGGGGTGGTTCACATGAGCAATTCCTTGCATTTGCATTTGCATTTACGTCTGCGTTCGCTGAGGTTCTCCTTGTGTCGTTGATTGACCGAGGGAGGTGTGGGTACTAATCCTTTTACCCTCTTAGGTAATTAATTCAACTTTTCATGTGTGCCATCAGTTTCTTGCGTTCTTCCATAGTATAACTAGGGACGGATAGCTGAGATGAGGCAAAGAGCCGAGCTTCTTTTTGTAAAAGCGGCGACATTAAGGTTCAAGTTACATTAAGCAATACCCTGTTATTTCATTCAGACCGAAGAAACTGAACTATGTTGTTATCGTACCTGACAATCCTGGTAACTGGTTGGGATAAAACTAGCCCAATCCGAATCAAGTAACACCTTGCCGCAAGAGCTGATTAATGACGTCTCAAGTTGACACAGCCTCCTGCAATATATATAAGATAAATGAATAAAGAGGGTTAGTTTATAAAGAAACTGTGGTGCTGCGTCGATGGGAGAGTATAACAAGGTAATTTAGTGTTATCGACTGAGTTGAAAACGTAAATTGGCCACCGTAAAGAGTTTAAAGGCTGAAGTTTCGAGCGTTAGCCCTTCGTCAGAGCGATGGGAGGAATTTTGGGTTTTGTGTGGGTTTATATGCAGAAAATGGAGCTACGCTATTGGTGGGAAGAATGAATTAGTTGAATGAAAAGCGTTTGTTGATACCGTGGGGATTAAGGGTGCCGATTTAGAAGATAAATTTTTGCTCCAGAGTTTTGCGGCTTTCCGAACTGCCCAGATATAGGAAGAGGCCGCAAACCGCCATATGCTGTTCAGAATGATTTGGGGGATTAAAGTGTCTCGCGACTGGTTTGAATGCGTCCTTGTCATTTCTTTCTACGTGGTGAAGGTGTTCTCGGAATCGGTCACCTAGTCTTCTTTCTGTTTCACAAATGTATATCTCTTTACAACAAGTGCAAATTATGCAGTAAATGACATTGCTCAATTAATTGGCGGAGTTGCACGTAAAGTGATCAGTGATCTTAATGGATCTCTTGGGTCCCGACATTTTCTCTATCTCATTCAAAACAAAAAACTATTGGAAGGCAAGAACGAAAGAAATTACTTGTAGTGGCAAACACCTTCGTTGCTTCTCTTAGAATTGGATTTCTGATCGAGGTTTTTGCCAGTCCTCAATATGAACAGTAAGAGAAATTATTGAACGAACATCAACCTGATTATGATTATATTTACCTGGGAAAAGTCGTCTTCTACAACGGTGTATGAGTAAACAATTTATCTTCTTCTCACTGAAATGAGATAAATGTGAAAATCAGCCAGCCCGGGTATGGTAAAGTTTAGCCATTTTACACCGCAATTACTTATCCTCTGGCTCGACCATGGTGGTATCAGTAGGAACTCCCGCTTAGGAAGTTTTTATTTTTCGGCGTTAAATTTCCATAACTTCTTAAACCGATGACATTTATTATACTAAAACATTTTCATCCCTCAAAGTTATACTTATTTGAGGTGTATTTTGTAGTCAGTCACTAAACGGACCCTTCAAAATCTTGACTGAATACTTTTTTATTGTGTATAATCCGCTAAGTAGGAAATGTCAGCTCGAGAATAAATTTAGACATTTCACTAAACCACCGGCGGGTTTACAAGCTCTTACTGTGAACTATGATGTGTTGATCGACTAAGAAATACTTTCGTGTTTACAAACTCAGATAAGTCGCAGGCAGAAGTACTTAATACGGGTGCATTTACTTCTCACTTACCATGCCTCGTGCCCTGCTTTCTCCATGATCGATGAACGGACCACGCTTTTGACACTGACACCACACAAGAAGTTACTGGTATCGGTGTCAAATTACCACGTTCCGGTGTTACATAAGTTTAGGGCAAAAATGAAAAGGACATTTTCCAGGACACGCTAGCAGGTTTAAGGCTCATTAGCAATCTCAACAAAACGCAAGGCTAGTGCAGACGAGCGAATGGATAAAAAGTTCCTTGAATAAAGGTTATTTTAGGTTATTTCAGTGATACACAGGGATGCACAGAATCAGTGCGATCTGAGAGTGAGGCGTAGGCGAACTTTCGATTCAAATTGAAGTGGCTTGAATACAGATCTTTTTTAGGCAAACAATGTATGCAAAAAAGGGCTAGATAAGGGAAATAAAAGAGTACCACACATTCGAGTTGGTCATTGCTTTCTTATATTTGGTGGCTCCTGAAGGAGCCGTTTGTTGAAGTGACTACCCAACGGTAAGTCACTGTTTTCTACTTGGTGACTGATCTTGGTTTCGCCCAGGTTAGTCTCGTGCGCTCCTTGGGCTTTCGCTCGGCTTGCTTGTTCTGCTCACGGTAGAGCGAGATCTTTAGAAGGGTTGAACCGAATACTACTTTCCGCACCACGTCTTTACAAGCGACGGGGGCTCCATTCCCGCCTTGACAGCGCAAACACCCCGAATGATCAAAAAACACTTTCTTGCGCTCTACGAGAGCAATCTCGACGGGCTTGCCGGGCTGCAACCGACAAGTCGTGGAGGTTTTGAAAGTAATTAGTGACCATCCGGCAGGCATTATGGCGTCAAGCTCGTGAATGGGCACAGAAAACTTTGTCGCTTGCAAAAGATTTGGCGCGGAAGGAAGACCACCGAACAACTCTTTAAAGGTCTCGGCATCCATCGGCATTGTGACAGACGAACGTCTCACTATGCTGGTTGTTGGCGGTTTCTTCATGTTCAGCTTTTCTGCCACTTACACAGCTAAGGTCTGCAGCAAGCCCGGAGTTCCTTGGTGGCGTGTCCTAAACACTTGTTTAAGGCGCTCGTTTGTGTCGGCTTCATCCACCCAGCTATCGCTCTTCTTTCCATAGCCACGCCAGCGGACGAGGTACTGAACGCGACTGTGGGCGTCTGTACGCTTATCGAGCACTTTCGAGACTTCGTAAAACTTGCTCATGTTCTTAGCTATTCTCTCAGTAAGGGATAATCTAAAGTGATTATGACTTGCGTTTACGAGGCCTTTATATGCAAGTACCACAAAGCAAGTAAACAAGCAAGTCCAAACAAGTCACCATTTTTTTTTTCACTCACCTAATGCAGTGATGAACATTTTTTATTTAAGAACTTGTGGCCAACCGGAGAATAAAGTCACTGAAACGGAAAAAGGTGCGAAAATCGCACCTATTGTTGTGCCTTCAACAGCGAGGTTTATTTGCTTCAATAGACCAAAAAACAAAAACCGCGAGCCTGAGCGTTTTAATATGCGCACTGTTATTCAAAGACTTCACTTACAAGCGGCGTTTAATGACAACCAGCGTGAACCAGGAAGCGCAGGTCTAATTTAATTACAAAATGCACAAAGGCTGACTAAGATTGAATGAATGGTTTACTTGTATCCTTGTTTCTCTGTTGGAGCTTTCAGTTTTTTACTGGTTTATTAAGGTGCTACAAGAGAACGCCTTTTTTAATATA